CAAACTGGGATCTGTTGCTGCTGATGGGAGGTTATCCCGTCAGGCAAGTAGTCCAAAAGAATTTAGTTGGTTGGATCTCTGGGGTTTGAACCCAGAGAGGGAGGGGCCGTTTCGGCTGAAGGCCTCCGCGGCATGGGGGGGGAGTGAAAGAAAGAAATTTGTATAAAGAATTATGAACTTATGCAATAAAAATCAAATGAACATTCAAATCAATTGTATCATACTAAATTAACCCGTTCTAAATGGGTACATTGTGTGTTATTTCCAGGGTACATGCAGCTTAACTGGAGAAGGACCTGTTTGTAAGTGCCCCGCTAGCTATGCTGGTAAAAGATGTGAACATGACAGTTGTGTGGGCCACTGCCAAAATGGAGGTACGTTCCTTATGTCCTAATACACATTAGAAAGCCAGGCAATTATTATTCAGTGGAACTGTGTTGATAGTATTGGACTCCTTAAGTTTCTTGTCTTTAGATATTGGTTGTATGCAGTATGTAAGATTTGAGGTTTTCACAGCGGTGAGTATGAAGATATCTGTCTTCTGGGTTGTTGCACTGTGTAGTCTGGTTGATGCTAACCAACATTTCAGAGGTCATACTGCCTCCGTCATCAGGGCGATGAATATGAAGATTTCTGTCTTCTGGGTTGTTGCGCTGTGTAGTCTGGTCGATGTTAACCAACGTTTCAGAGGTCATACTGCCTCCGTCATCAGGGCGATGAGTATGAAGATTTCTGTCTTCTGGGTTGTTGCGCTGTGTAGTCTGGTCGATGTTAACCAACGTTGTAGAGGTCATACTGCCTCCGTCATCAGGCGATGAATATTCATCGCCCTGATGAGACATTAGGAATATATTAGGGCCTTTAGGCCCAGTAGAACCATCTTGTGCTACATACATCATATATTGGAAATGGCCATTTCTGTGGTAAAATTTAAGATAACCACAAAACATTATTACATGTTGTTGAAAGGGCAGCTATGTTAATACTTTTGAAAGATGTTATGCATATAACACAAGGTATTCAAATTAAGGAAATGTGTATTGATACTGTAAATCTCATTTTGGAGATCTTAATAATTATGGATGATACTTTAACCTCTCCCTTCTCTTACTGCCTCCCACTTTCCCCTCCTTATCCATTCCCCTACTGCTCTAGTAACAATGAACCAGCAACTACCTACCTTCTGTCTGTATTCATCCACTTGTGGGCACATATCAGTGCTACAACACGGGCCACAGTAAAAATTGGCGAGTTTTTGTGTGCACTTATAATGTATATGTAATAGTATAGATACCTTTCCTTTCTGCTGAAAAACTAGATTCCTCTTACTACCAACAGCAGTACATTAAAACATAACAGGGTTGATTGAAATTTTGGATTTCGATATGAACATTTGGACTTCACTGTGCTGCATATCACATTTTTACTTTCAACATGGTATTCTTAACTACCATGTTGAAAAATGCCCACGTGGTTATAACTGTGACAAAGAATTAATTTTGCCATGTCTGAACTTTTTTTCTTAAAAATAACTTCTGGCATTAATAATTCCATTCATAAATAATGGAAGTCAGTGAACATACATTAAAATGCTCACCTTAGTACTTCTAAATTGTATCGCTTAAGGCACAGTTCCTTTAGCTTAGAAGTGGTTATGCATTTGAACCAGTTCCTGAGAACCTACTTCTGCAACCACCTTTGTTCTGATACATTTTCTCCATAACATTACCATTTCAGGAACATGTACACCTGGAGCTAAGGATCTAGTCTGTAACTGCCCACCCCTATTCACTGGACGCCGATGTGAGGTGGACTTGTGCTCTTGCACCCCATGTCTGAATTCAAGTCATGCAGATTGCAAGTGTCCATCTCAACGTCCTATTGAGTGCCAGAGTTCCTGCTTTCCTGGGCAATGTCAGAATGGCGGCACATGCATCCGAATGCCACATCAGTCCTACTGCAAGTGAGTTGACTTACATTGTTTCCCTGACTTGTTTTGGCTGTTGTACCTGTTTGTTGCAAAATGTACTGACAGAATCTTTTACCAAAATAGTAAACCACAGATAAACTTATGGGTCATAAATACACTACTAATGTTCTTTGAAAATTCCTGTTTCTTCCAGAAGAGATGTACTACAAATGTAATAAAACTTGTGTATGACCAAATTATTGCCCGAATTATTCCTGAAAATATGTCCTTTTGTGACTTTCAGTGCTTATTTCATAGCAGTTGTTCAGTTATTGGATGTAACTGTTCATTATTGAGTCTTATTGACAGCTCATTTAGACCAAACATTGCATTGTTGATAAATTATAATCTGAAATGTGAATATTTTTATTGTGATGGAATGTTCTTGTGCTGTTATGTGTAGTACTCCATAAACAAAATTCATATCTGCCAGCAACTTACCAAATCCACTTACCCATATTTTGCAGTATGCTTTATTCAAATAATGCTGTAGAAGTGTTAGAAATGTACCCATTCTTTGCCCAGATTTGTTTAATGCACTGCCAGAAATGAACAGTTATTCATATTAAATTCAGGATCTAAAATCAAAAGGATGTGTGATCTCTTCAAACTTTAAATTCTTTGCTACCTTGACAATTCATGTTAATGAATGTCTGTATCTCAGCTGCATTTCTATTAAAATAATGTATGCTGACTGTACTAATTTTATGTGTTGTGAATATGTATTTGCATTGGCAAGCATATCTGATAACAAACTTCATAGCAATTTTATTGTATAAAAACAAAAAAGCACTTTAACTATGATACCTGAATGTTATTGCACTGCTGGAACAAACTGAATTATCATTAATTCAGGTACTAAATACATTTCTCTTATTTACTGGCCGTCATAGCTCAGGTGGCAAATGCTGGCTTCTCACTGCAGAGACTAGTGTTCAGTACTGGGTGACTTCAAGTGAGATTCATGATATGCAAAGTGGCACTGGAGCAAATTTTTCTCCAAGTTCTTTGGCTTTTCCCTGCTAATCATCATTTCATTATTTCTTCATGCTCGTCTATCATAACTTTATGAAGTGTATGTTAGCACTGACCAAGCGGTACATTATCATATCCTTGGTCCTAAGTTAGGGCCTCATCTGTGAACTAGGACTTAGCTGGTCTCAGAGTAGATGTGTTGGTCGCAGCAATGGCAGACAACAAAAATCTGTGAGAGAGACAATCTTTGATGTATGTATTAAGATAAAATTGTTTTGGACTAGATGATGAAGTCCATGGAGAATCAGTAGTCTTGGGTATATGTTCTAGGCAGACAGTCTTGTGTGATTATTTTCATGAGTATGATAATTTCTGCTTTCTATTGTGTCATCTAGGAACAATTAGGGAGTTGAATCACATATTAACACGTTCCAGCCTCAGTTATCCAACATTTACCTCAGTGAAAATGTATTTTGTTCCAGGTGTACAGACGACTATGGGGGATGGGACTGTTCCATTTACAACGGGCGGCAAAATCCGTGCCATGGTTACTGTAATCAAAATGGGAGATGTTCATACGTCAAACAGGGTTTGAAGTTATCAAATCCTGTATGTAGTTGCTATCCTGGCTGGACTGGGCCTCGGTGTGAGGAGAAGTTACCATCAGCCTGCAAAGCCTACTGCTTCAATGGTGGAACATGTCAGGAATCACCAGACCCCAGCTTGAAACCTAGTTGCATGTAAGTTCATTTGGTGGTACTGAACATTGTGACATTGTAAAATAATTAAGGCTTATGTTTTTGTGAAATCAAGTTACCTTACCATACCAAAGCTTTTAAAAACTTAACCACTTCCCTGAGTATCTTGACATATTTTGGGCTGATGATTTATGGGGAGAAAAAATACCCGAGTTAATTCAGAACAATATTTTTTTTCTTCCATCCCATTATTAGTAATCTGAGTTGATTCAGGTTATGAAGAAAATATGTACAGCAGACTCTAGATGTTAGTAAATGCTGGACTGCTGTACTTTAATAAGCCACATGCATTTATATATTTTTATGCTAGGGCACATTAGGACTTTTACGCTTCTGTAACACAAGTTCTTGCATTAGCTGCAGTGTCATTTGTGTGTGCTGTGATTGAGAACAAGTTGATTTTTTACAAACAATGGAAGCTGGCATGAAATAACTCTGGATAATAATCATTACAATTATATAGTGTGATTAAATATTTTTCATCACAACATGTCTTTAATATTTTGTGGGTATATTCCAAATGTGAAATTTAAAAAAGAATTGTGCTTTTTATAAAATTTTCAGAAAAAAATCAGGGAATGGGTTAATATGTCCAATGGGGCACAGCATTGTGTAAACATGGTACTTTGGTTTAAGCTTTGTCTCAGCGTCATCTAACTGAAGATGGCAACTGTTATGTCAGTATGTGAAATTTAACAGTTCAAAGTCACATTTGTGATTAGGTGTGTGTATGTGCACTTTCATATCAGTTTTGTCTTGTTGAATGGTCCTTGATATGTATGGCATGAAGCTAGGTCTTTAAAGGATGATTAAACTTCATTCAATAATATTACAGTTATATCAGGACAACTAACACAGTCAAACTTTTTATGTTTCAAACTAGAACTGTCATTTGTGCTATTATGAAGATTAATATCAACTGAAAAATATTTCATGATAAGGACAAATCTAGTTTTTCCCTTCCTCTAATAAAAGAAATTAAGACAGACAGATGTAGTAATTGCATTACAGATTTCACCAATAACAAATTCTACTCAGCAGTGTAGAAGAATTTAGAATACATTCAAGATCAAGCTGTGATAAGGATTTTTAGCACCCCAAGTAATTCTGTTGTACAAGAATCTTGTGTCCTAGAACACAGTGATTTCAGGAAGATGATATTATGGTTTCTATAGCCAGGACATGTTGCAGCTGATATTCTCAAATGTGCTACCTTCTAAACATATTGTGATGTGTTGGGGTTGGCATTGTTGAACTGTTTAATGACATTGTTGTATTCATGCATTGTTGTATTATTATTGACATTGTTGCGTTTAGCATTGTTGTGTCTACATTGTTGCGTTTAGCATTGTTGTGTCTACATTGTTGCGTTTAGCATTGTTGTGTCTACATTGTTGCGTTTAGCATTGTTGTGTCTACATTGTTGCGTTTAGCATTGTTGTGTCTACATTGTTTGAGAGTGTGGAAGAAATACTGCGAAGAGAGCTGAAGTGTGAATCGCTTGTAGGAGAAGTGTGTTGTAGACGAGATTATTTTGTGCTGTAAAGACGTTTTAGTTGATTAAATTCATTATTGTTGGAAGACTTTGTGGTCTCTTACAATCCAACCAAGTTTACAACTGAGATTGGATTTGAGGTAGTAGACCCCGCAAGAAATCAAGGTTGTATACCGACCCACGCTACAATATCAAATATCCCAGTCTTTTATACTCTCCACTTCTGATGCTGCCAGATGCTTACCATTAAAGACTTATAAAAGAGAGCATATTTCATGATCACATACTGGCTGCACAGCAAATCACATCATGTTTGAAGACAACCAGTTACTAAGAGTGTAAAAATTATTTATTGAGGTAGTAGAGCACAGATATTCTGGGCAGTTCTAAATTATCATATATTGGACTATCTGTATTTGAAAAACTATGCTTGTTTTCCATAATTTGCATTGTTCATTTTCTTATGCCCTCCTCTACCCTTTGAAAGTAAGTCTTACTTAAACTTCCTGTTTTGTATACTCTCTAGAGAATATTCTAGTACTTATATGTGCATATAACTGCTGAAGTTATAAAACCTGTAAACAATAACAGCAATTGTTAACATGCTTGTAAGCCCAGTAACTAACTACATGGAGCATGGAGCGAAGTCCTTCTTGAGGTACTAACAGTCACTTCACTAGTTAATCTTTCTGCCGCTTATGGAACTTGCTGTTGAATTACCATGTTCAGAAGATCCCGTCACTGCTACCTGTCCTAAGCCAGTTAAATCAGTTCACAGTCTCCCACCTTATTCAGCACTGCCTTCTATTCAGAAAAGTTGTCATGGAAATGGAAGAAGTATTAAAAAAATTGCTTGAGTCAAAGGTGTCTGGGTCTGTTAACAGTCATCCTGAATGAACTGCTAAGAAGATTTTCTCCCACTTGACTGTCAAACAAGACCACAAATTTCTTGTTTTTTTTTTGAAAGTATGAAACATGGAAATAAGCCATCCTCAGAAATTTGTAATTAATAAGTTCAATGTGTTGTTTCCTTCAAGGAAACTTTTTCACATGAATAATGGGACTCATTTAAAGTCTCATGAGGAAATAATGTTGAAGTCATTGTGAATTGTTTTTGTATAGTATAACTCATTGACAGTCACAATCAGAATAGCAAAAACCAATGTGCTATTATGATATTAGTATCTTTTAACATAATACATGAAGATAGAATGCTTATAAGTATATAAAATGGTTTTATGTGGGGAATCATGATACAAAGAAATGATTAATACCTTGGGAAATGTAGTTTTTGTATGTTGGTGTGTTACCAGATGCCTGACCACGAACACGGGTGACCGCTGTCAGTCTCCCGTGGCCCACGAATCAGATGGAAATAGTAGTTCTGTCATCATGGTGGTGATCATTGCAGTTGCTTTCCTGCTGGTGCTTGTGGGTTTCCTCTTGCTGGCTTACTACATGATGCGGCGCAGGAGAAGGTATTCTGAACTTTTGATTTTGTAACCATGTTCCTTCATATTGTCTTTCACATTAATTCTTTTATTTATTTTTTGTGTGTAGTTATCTTAAAATTGTAATAGGCATTTCTGGTCAATAGGTTTGGAAATTTACAGACAGTTTAACAATTCTGGCATGGTTGCCAGAATTTGTCCTTTGCAGAGCTGGTTTGGCATTCCCCACCCAGTCACTTCCCCATGCAAAAACACATGTATATTTTCATGTAAAGTGCCTGTTGTCAGAGTTTAATAAAAATTGGAACTTGTCAACAAACTTCAATACAACTCTCCAAATTTCATGAAAATTCTTTCTGTGATTCTCTAGTTATGTGCAGACAGGTGGACATACATGGCAAAGCTAACAGGTGCAGTTTTTCAGCTTTTAGTGCTTTGAAAACAAGAAGGCAGTGAATGAATCAACTTCGCAAATACATTTCCTGGGGATTTTACAATTTCTCATGGTCTGTGTGGTTTCAACCTCAGAAACTTAAAAAAAATGTAACAAAAATTGGCCTATATTTGATATTACTAAGTCTATTGTGTGTTCTGTGTTGTTCACTGTGTTAGACTTTTCATTATAGCCTATGTCTGTAGACTTTCACTGAATCATGTGAACATTATGTTACAATATGTATAATGTGCTTTCTGCAGTTTGTTTCCCAAGACAGAAGTAGTTACTTGTGTTCATGTAAGATTTGAGGTTTTCACAGTTGTGAGTATGAAGATTTCTGTCTTCTGGGTTGTTGCGCTGTGTAGTCTGGTTGATGTTTACCAACGTTTCAGAGGTCATACTGCCTCCGTCATCAGGGCGATGACGGAGGCAGTATGACCTCCGAAACGTTGGTTAGCATCGACCAGACTACATGGCGCAACAACCCAGAAGACAGAAATCTTCAAACTTGTGTTCAGTTATCCTATGTCTCTATTCACACAGTCCTCATACAGTGCTGCTTTTGTTTTCAGTGGGAAGCCATTCATGCATGTTCGTATGCAAGAAAATGTTGAAATCAGCAATCCTATGTACCTGCGAGAAGAGGTAGATGATGATGCTGATGCCATGGATGGGAACTTCACTCTTGACACAGACAAGGTAGGCTGTCTGTTGGCATGTGTATGCAACAAAGAATACTTTAAATTCGTGCTCAAGGCATAGATGTTGGTTTGCATTTTTGTATGTCTGCTGTCATGTCATGTGATAGGCTGATCACCTGTCCAAAGAGTTTCACCAAATGTCTAAATAGCTTAAACCTCGCATATGTGAAGTGGCCAAGGACCTTTAAGGACTAGAGCCATGAAGTAAGTATGTAAGCTACATGAATTTCCTTTTTTCCAGAGTGGAAACTTTGCAAACCCAGTATATGA